GTCTCAGGAATGGCCAGTTGTGGGGAGTGGAAGTAGTGCTGCCAGGTGGAGCTGCTGCTTCCAGGCCTGTGGTAAGAACACTGTGGCCAAGGCCATGTCTCTGTGAGCAGTCTGGCCATTGAACACACACATCAGAAAAGCAGACATCACATGGACAGTGTGATCACTAAGAAGTCCCATCTTTCTTGTCCGTGGACCATTTCCAGTGAAAGGACAACCTGGAGCACTTGCTTGTGGGAACGGCCAAGTGTCTGGGGCTCTGGAGATGGCTTGCCAGGTTCCCCCACAGAGGAGGCCAGTGAGGTCTGGAGGACGTTAGATCTGAAGGGGCTATAAAGAAATGATTGTGAAGGGTTCAGCATGTAAATAATACAGATGCAGATTAAAAGGAATGGGACAGTAGTTCAAATAAACCCTGTCATTTGTAAGCTTAGGGCAACAAGAGCTCTGTGTAGAGCTAGGTGCTTGCCCATTGCCTGTTTGCTGCTTCATACTTGCCCAGTGTTCACCGAGCTCCCCCAGGGGAAAGATAATAAAATACTTGATCTCCAGACCGTAAACATTTATTGCCTGTGCCCTGTGTCTGTGGCACTGTGCTGGGGCCTCTTTTGGGCTTTTGTTTGTGTTGAAGGGACAGGGTCAGGTGGGGTGGGGGGAGTAGTGGCTGTTGTGACCATTGTGAGAATAGACCGATGAAGCAGCCCTAGTGATCAGCTTCTGGGAAAGACGTGCAGGCAATGGAGGCTTCTTTTTAATTTAAGGTTACAGTACTTGACATGATTTCAGATGTCTTTAGAAAATTTAACAAGTTGCTTTATTCACTATAGAAATCATTACTGATTATTTATCTGTAATGTATCTATTTCTTTGAAGGAGGATCTCCTTTTGTAGCCATGGTTGGCCTTGGACTTCTGGCAGGCAGTCCTCCAGCTTTAGCCTCCAGAGTTCTGGGATGCATGAGCAACTACTTTTAATCTTATGGACAGGTCTCATTTCATTTTGTTGCTGGAAAGTTTTTTACTACTGATCACTTTATGTGTTATTTGATTTTGATAATATTGACAGTTGGTAATTACTATAGGAAGCAAAGTGAGCAGAACATAAGACACCTGTAATGTTTCCTAGACATCACTGACTCTGCTGCCTCACAGTCCCTCTTGTCTTTCTCTGCATTTTGACAGAATTACAGTGCCTGTCTGAACTTGAGTCACTATAACAAAATACCCTGGGCATCCAGCGCTTTCTTCTGGCATCTGTATGCACAGCGTATACTCACACATATACTAAGTACATAAATCTCAAAAGAAATGCCAATTCCAACAGCATTCCCCAGGGACTGGGGAAAGAGGTGGTGAGACAGAGGACGAGGGGGCTGTCAGGAAAGGGGTTGGGAACTGCCTGGTGACCATGCCCTGGCAGTTTCCTGAAGCTGAGCAGGTGATAATCTGGAGCTAAATGACCACCCAGAAAGAAGAAGGAAAGCTGAGGAAGCCTGGGTGCCATGGCAGCTCATTTCTGCGCATTACCTCATTGTAATGGTTGCTGTGCTGGGCAGGATATCCCTGTTGGGAGGGACAAGTTATCAAGTACATGGAGTCTTGCTGTGTTATTTATTTATTTATTTATTTATTTATTTATTTGTAATTTTTGTAAGACACTGATTTCCATAATTTCAGTAGATTTTTTTTTTTTTTGTAATTTTTGTAAGACACTGATTTCCATAATTTCAGTAGATTTTTTTTTTTTTTTGATCCTAGCTCTAAAACTGAAGGATGTCCAGTTGTGTGGTGGTTTTTCTCAGTGACAAATTGACATCAGATTGATGCTGTCTCTCACTAGTTTAAACTTAACATGAACTGAAGGAACAAATGCCCTTAAACATTTCTTAGTAACTTTGTAAGACAGTGAAGTGAGTGGGTTTTCTCTCTTTTTCAGCCACGAAGATTTTGAATTCATTTCAGGAACACGGATGCGCAAACTGGCACGTGAAGGTCAGAAGCCTCCAGAAGGCTTCATGGCTCCCAAGGCCTGGACTGTGTTGGTGGAGTACTACAAATCCTTAGAGAAAGTGTAACCATTCTGCCTGGGACACAAGACTGAGTGACAGAGGGGACCACGCAGTCACCGACAGCATTTCTCTGTGGTTGTGTCCATCTGAACATAATTCCTGAAAACAGACCATGTTTCTCCGTGTACATCAGTTTTGGTCTGCCTTTGAATTCTGTTTCAAACTAGTGTAACACATCTCTGGTCTTAATGTGTCTTTTCCACTTACTGTTAATATTCTTATAATACGATTTTAAAAATCTTGCCTTTTTATATTGTATTTATGCTTCTGTCTTAGGATTTTTCCAAGCTGATTTATTAGTTATAACCAGTAATACATCATCTAGCTTTTAATTCTTTAAGAAGCAGGAGTGGGGGGATCACTAAACTTGGCTAGACCTTGTTTGGGGAATTTTGCAAAGCATCTGTAGCAATTAGGTTTTTTTTTTTTTTAATTTTACATTAAAAGTATAAACTGCTCCCTCCCTTGCAACCCAACATGTTGAGGTATTCTTGCAATCTGTGTTAAGTGCTGAATGAATGCCTTGATTCAATAAAACTGATTTTTTGGGGGGGCTTCTTATTTAGTTTTGTGTACATATACCCCCTTCCTTGTGAAAATTCCTGGCAAAGGGGGGCTGTGAAGGTATCTTTAATTTCTGGGGTCTGATATGTAGTTCCCTATACCATGTGTTTGCTGAAGTCATGCATAGCAGGAACCTGTACTCCATAATTATGTGGGAAAATTATAAAGAATTCTTCGTCCATCTGAAATCTCAGTTTTGCCTGATATAGCTCCAGTATTCTTAAACACAAGGATTTGGATGGCAACAAGAGTGTCACTGCTTTGTAAGCTGTAGCCTCAGTGTAGGTCAAAGCTGCTTGAAGTCAGGAAGGCTGTCTCCTGCCCTATGCCCTTCCGTCCACATGGGCAGATGCATGCTTTGCTTACCTTGATGGTTCATGTTGTGGTTGTGAGGCAGACTAGACAGATGGAAAATTTTGGGAAAATGAAAAGAGGAACTTTTCATCCAGGAATCTGATTGAAGCCTTTTGCCAGCAGAAAAGCAAGAATTCCAGCACAATGGACAAACTGCTGAAGACCCTACCCCTTCCTTCTGAGCTTCAAACATACAGTTTTCTAGGAATTTTACCAGAAAATGGATTTATTGGGAAAGGACACATACCAAAACCCCTTGGAGACCTAGTGGCTTCTGGTTTAACCTTGTAAAATTATAACTCTCAAAGACATCTCCAGAGCCTCCCTATAATCTCACGTATCAAAAGAGGAAAAAAATATGAGAGGGTTCTGTAGCTTTTAGAGATTTGAGAGCCACCAAAATGACGTATCTGGCTTATGCTAAGACAATTAACAGTGTCTCTTGAGTAGCCCATACCACACTTGGATGTCCTTCTGAACTCCCTTAGAGAAGCTCACATCCATGTATCCATCCCTGCCACTTTGTGTCTATGATAGTGAGAGATAAAAACAATGTATATATTTAGCCATGGTGCCACATATCTGTAGTTCCAGATGTTTAGGAGGCTGAGGCAGGTTTGCAAGAGTAACAAGTGAACCTAAACCAAAGCAAGACCTTGCCTTGAAGAGTGTCACACACAGGCTCTGACATGTTCCAGTTCAGAAGAGCCAGTGTTACCTGCTGAGTCAGTGAGGCAAAGCTGATCTCGTAGCCCCACTCACATGTAGTGAGTTGGGAAAAAAAATTCTATCGCAGGAAGGCCAGCAGAACCACCAAACTTCAAAGTAATGTTTACTGTCAAAATGTTTTTAAAAGTTAAAATTCAGGAAAAAGGTATTTTAAAATGTCATTCATAAAATAGCACTGACCCTTGGGTGTGGGCACACACCTGTAATCCTAGATTGTAGGTAGTCGAATCAGGAAGACCGTGAGTTCAAGGCCAACCTGGCTAACATAGTAAGTTCCAGTTTGTGGTTGCCCAGAGACCCTGTCTCCAGAAAACAAAACAAAACAAAACAAAAAACAACAAAACAAAAGAAGTCTCAGCATTTTTAACATAAAGTAAGGGCAGGAAGACTGGCTTTCCAAAACATTGCTCCTCCTTAGGGATGACAGGGTTGCTACCTGGGACAGGATGCTGTCCTATGGTTTCTATTGCTGTGGACAGACACCATGACTGTGGTGACAGTTATAAAGGAAAACATTTAGTTGAGGCTGGCTTCCAGTTTCAGAGGTTTAGTTCATGATGGTGATGTCCAAAAGCATGGTGGCATGAAGGCAGACATGGTGCTGGAGAAGGAGCTGCCAGTTGTACATGTTGAGCTACAGGCAGCAGAGGGGACTGCCACGCTAGATCCAGCGTGTGCATGGAAGACCTCAAAGCTCTCCTCCACAGTGACATACTTCCTCCAAAAAAGCCACACCTTCTAATAACCCCACTCCCTATTGGCCAAGCAGTTAAACATGTGAGTCTACAGGGCCTATACCTATTCAAACCACAAAATATAAACAGAAAAGATGATGTAAATTGTTTGGAAATAATTGTCTTTGACCATCTTAGGTCAAAGGGCAAACTAGACAAACATCTTTATGGAAGTAATCGTGCGCCAAGTTGTGGTTTGGCAGAGTCTCTTTGTGAACATTTTTGGTATCAGTCAAATAGATGTGAAGGCCACCCCCTCAATCCCATTTCATATCTTATTAATTCCATTTTCTTAGGGCATAATCAGTCAGTCCATTTTGATTCTGATCGTTTCATAGTGTTGTTTCCATTTGTGATCAAAATTCTTATAGAATTAAGATAACATGGTAGAAATGAGACTAACAAGGATGAGCTATAGTCTAAAAAGTCACCTTGCATTTTCTCAGGTAGTCCTGGGCTCCTGCCCACTAAAAACACATCTGGTGGAAACATGGCTCCAGACCTCATTCCCTTGGGATTAGCCACCTACTTGCATGCTTTAGAAAAACATTGAAGAAATAAAAGCAGCCAATAATTTCTATCAGTTCATAGACTGGCATGTGTTTCTAAAGCTGATAGATGTGGAAATTTTATTTTTCCCCTTCCCAGTTTATAAAAAAGAGACCAAACCAATCTTTAAAACATCCAACCCTTCTGAGGAATGTCTCCTGCCAAGTGGTTTCAGAAATCTAAGTGCCTTTTAATCTATTCATCAACTGGAGAAGGGAATGGAAAAATGATTTTTTTAAAGGAAAGTGTGATGATCTTGGCAGCAGTGGAGTGTCTTAAATCTGTCAGTTCTCTCTTCCACTGTGGTAATCAAGACCACATATTTGAGTTTCATTGCCATCCAAGAGGGGAGCAATTATACCTATCTCTTGGAAGCCAGCCTTCAGATGCTTAATCAGGAAAAATTCGGAAGTTGTGCTTCCACAGATGGCCTATCTTTATGAGCACATATGTATCCAGGAATGAGTTGGCTCACAAAGTAAGGAGGTATTTGCCCACTGAGCCTCTTACATGTAGCATACACTTCTTAGAGAGCCTCCAGGCCTCTTTTCTTGTATTGCTGCTAGATGTCGTTTCTGATTTTACATAGTCTTGTGCCAAATATAATTCTATATGTCTTTCAAAGACCATTCTGCCCACACAACTCTCAGTATTTTCCTGGACTGAAGTGAGATCTGGCCTCACTACAACTATGGATTTATGAACTGTAGTTCTCCTCATCTTTACTTCCTGCCTGCCAGGTTCCCAGGGAAAATGGCGTCAGGATTTAGGACCCAGTACTGATGAATAATCGGAAGTCTGAATGTGGCCTTATAAATCATAGCTGGAGTACTGAGTGCTGGAGCCTAGACTGGGCGAGAGTGAAATCTGAGCATAGACCTCTCTGAGGGGCACTCCATCCTTTCTTGCTTGTCAAGGAAAGGGGACTCAGAGCACTTTTTCTCAGGAATGTCCGTTTCCTTCATGTAAGAGACGCCCTAGGAAGACTTTCTTCTGCATCTGTTAGTTTGCATGTAGTTCAGCTCAAATCAATCTGTTAGACAGTGTTGTACACTGGGGTGATGTATTCTTGTCCTCTAAATTGATAACACCAATTAAGGTTCATGTAGCCCAATATAACTGTACTCACCAGCTAATCAAGGCTGGGAGATTTGGTGAAGATAAATAATTTGAAGTAGGAACCGGAGAAAGCCTTTACAATTAAATTAATAGATAAATTTAAATCGAGCAACAGTATTTAAAACAGTATTTAAAGCTGCTAGGAAACTACAAAATGGAATGTATTCTCAGTACACTAAGGAAAAACCAAAATGGACTAGCAAGAGTAATTCTCTAGATCACTAATTCTCAGCCTTCCTAATGCTGCGACCCTTTAATATAGTTACTCATGCTGTGGAGACTCCCAACCATAAAGTTATTTTTGTAGCTACTTCATGACTAATTTTGCTACAGTTATCAATTGTAATGCAAACATTTGATATGCAACCCCTGTGAAAGGGCCATTAGACTCCCAAAGGGGTCTTGACCCACAGGTTGGTTGAGAACCTCTGCTCTAGTGCCAAGTTACTAAAGTGACCTGGCTTCCTAGTTTTGTAGATTTACAGTGACACTGTCAAGCTCTTTTGTTCACACAGTGTATCTAAAGGCAGAGTTGAGTTTTCAGAGAAAGACCCGAGGCCCTGATCAGCTGGGGCTACCTGATAATGTTAATAAAGCATACAGGATACAAATTACAGGAAGTCGGCTGACTTCTATTCTGGACCAAGAATTGCTTCTATAGCCTGGATCCTGACATCAGTCTCTCCACCCCCCAAAAGGAAGAGGCAGACCTGGAGAATGGCAAAAGACACGTGGTTGTTACTGTTTAGGTCTCACTCTTCTATCCCTTTGTTAGTGCTTAGGTCTTATCTTTCTAGTCCTTTCTCCAGCCTATTGAGGAGCTGGGGAGTTGAGCGGGATGGGGAAGGAGAAATAAAAAATTTCCCACAGGTTTTCCCTCTCAAAGCCACGCACAGCTATCTCCTGTTCTGTTGCTGCATGCTAATGACAGTGAGCCTGCCCACCAGGTCAGTTAAGGACACCACATCAATGACGTGCTGCCATTTGGGTCCATGTGAATAGATTTGTTTACTGAATTGACCAGAGCTTTTAAAGCATCGTGTTGCTACAGCAATGATTCCTGTAATGGGAACTAAAAACTTGTAACCACATAGCTTATAAACACAGTATGAAGAATAAAAATAAATATAAATTTTAGTTCACAATGATCCTAGTGGGAGTATTTTTTCCCCCTTCTACATTTGTGATGCCTGTGTAGGAAACTACTGATCCATACGAGTTGATGATCATCAAAAGCTGCAAGAATGTAGAGGTTGTGTGACAGTTGGCAGGCCCGTGAGCAGGATGGGAGCCTTCAGTTCCGGATTTCACGACTTCCACATTGCAATTTGTATGCTGTACGATATATTAACATTTCCCCTACATTTAGTTTCCTTTAAAACACAAAGTCAACATGAAACATCCGAGCACCAATCTCTCAGGGAAATTACGAGACACCATATACCCGATCTATTGTGGGGTGGGGTATCTCTCAAAGTATTTTACACTTTTGACGTTGGAAGAAGGAAGGGATGTTCTTCCTCTTACTCACATTTCTAAGGATTCAAAGTATTGCGCTCCAAGTTTAGATTATGTTTTCTTTCTAATGGCAGAAATAACCGAAAGAGAACAAAGGTCTTCAGTAAAGAGGATGAGAAGAACACAGAGTAAACTCGGAACTGCAAGCTCAGTTAAAATCCTGCCTTATTTGATGTGGATGGTTG